AATTGGCCTGGGACGTAAAACTACCCCCTGGGGAGCGGCTAGGGAACTCGGGGACCACGGATGGACGAAAAAAACGGGTCGGAGAACGCCGAGGCAAGGAGGAAAGCGGCGAAGGGTTCGGTCGTCAAAGGAGGGCTCCCAGGGGGGTAGGGGCTTCTCCTCCTCCTCCTCCTCCGCCTCCTCCTCCTCCTCCTCCGCCTCCTCCTCCCCCTCCTCCTCCTCCTCCTCCTCCTCCTCCTCCTCCTGTCAGTGCCGAGCACCCTCGGGGCACACTGTACACGGCACTTCAGTTGCAGGTTGGGCGGGGTGCAACCGGCCGATTTTCCTGGAACTGCGGGCTCTGGGGCTTGGGGTGGACGTTGCGAAAACTGCATCGACGGGTCTCCCGTCGTTGGGTGTAGCACGGCCCCAGTCTCAGCCTGGCCCTGCGGGTGAAGGCGGGTAGCGGCGCCTGTGCGGTCATTTCATTGTGATCTGACCCTCAGGGATCGGCATTTCCTCGGGAGGCGGTGGCTTGTGCCACGTAAGTCCCAAGGGGCCTTGTGACCACCCAGGGCTGGGGAGCTTGTGCTCCTCGGTATGCCGTGCCAACTGTTCCGACTGGGATGCCTTTGGCTCCCAACGCACCATGTCGGAACCGCTGGGCCGCGAGTCTTCACAGGCGACGTGGTCACCCCCTGTGCCCTTCCTGCGCAGCTGTTGCTGCTCTCTGGGCGGTAGTTCGTTGGCTGGGCGTGTGCAATACACGGGCGGCCTTCGGGAGACCGACCCTGGGCGCCGGACTACTCCTCCTCCTCCTCCTCCTCCTCCTCCTCCTCCTCCTCCTCCTCCTCCTCCTCCTCCCCGTCCTCATGCATCCTCCTCCTCCACCTCTAATCCTGTTCCTCATAAATAACTCCTCTCTGTTGCACCCCAAGGCCAGTCGAAAAGACGGGCCGGGCGCTGCGCCTGATAATTCCTCACCATGAATGGTCCTGAAGCTCAACACTTGCAAGTTTTTCAAGGATGGAGGGCAGGTCGTTTTCAAAATGTGGCTCTCGCGCTAGTGCCGCGCAGATCGGTGTTTGCAAGAGCTTCACGGATGGATGGCAGGTAATTTTCAAGATGTGGCTCTCGTTTTAGCGCCGCGCGCATTCATCTAACAAAATTGCAAGAGCTTCACAGATGGAGGGCGGTTGGTTTTCAAAATGTCGCTCTCGCCTTAGCGCCGCGCGCATTGATCTAAAGCATTGCAAGAGCTTCACAGACGGAGGGCGGTTCCTTTACAAATGTGCCTCTAGCCTGAGCGCCGCGCACATTCGTTTTTAAAGAGCTGCCAGAAGTTCCAATGATTCTCATGGCTAACGTCCCAGAGATTGCGCGTTGGTACGATGTCGGATTGTCAGGGTGCAACGGTTACGCTGCTTCGTGGTGTGAAAGTCCCAGGACAAATGTTCTGGCATGGCTCAAGATCGTCAAGAGGCAACAAAGACGGTGATTCGGGGCGTTGAAATCCCAGGAACGGTGTTCCGGCACTGTTCTGAATGTTCAAACGGTTGTGTTCCAACCGTGCATTTCCTTCGAAACGAATCCTCGTATGGGGGCCTCTGAAGAGGGAATTTGGAGGGAGGGTGTATTGCAAAATCGTTGATGGGTCTTGGGTTTGCACTGGCCCTCCTCCTCCTTCTCCTCCTCCTCCTCCTCCTCCTCCTCCTCCTCTCCTCTTGGATTCTGTCCCGTCGGCGGCAACAAATCTCGTCGGAGGGCTTGCGCGCCGCCGATCCTTGCCGAACTTCTTGCTGGACCGGGTTCGGGCAGGGCTGCGGCGGCCGTACATCCAGCTGTCGAACCTCACGCGGCTGGCGGGGGAGAAGGAGGAGGAGGAGGAGGAAGAGGAGGAGGAGAAGGAGGAAATCCTATCAGACGCCCATTTTCGGGCATAAGTCTTTTTCGTGAACACACTCGAATGCCCGAGGATCCACTAACAGTCGCGCCGTTCGGACCTCCAGTCCGTCCTGGACTTCCACGGATTCAGGACGTGAAGTTGCACCAAGGGAGGATGAACGCACGTAGCCCGGAAGCTCCGTGATCTCATTAGCTAAAATTGGCGGCCAGCTTGGCAGCACGCAGGAGCCTCACGTGGGCTTCAAGACCAAATGCCTAGGTCGACGGGCCTCAGTCTCCAACTCCGGTTTATGGTAGACATGGAACGCTGAAGCTGTGATCCGAGGGGCATCGCACCGAGAGAAAGAAGGAACATAATCCTCCTCTGCGCAGCGGCCGAACCAAGCAAGGGGTGAGGCAGGGAGGAGTGTACGAGGAAAGGCACGAATGTGAAGGAGGCGAGGGCAGCAGCCACAGTGGGGCAGGGAGCCCACCCCACCCCTGGAGCCCAGCAGACATGCAGAACGTGCTAAAACAAACAGGCATATTGGCAGTCGTGGTCCGAGGAGGGAGGAGGAGGAGGAGGAGGAGGACCTCCTCGTTCGGTTCGTGACTCGATTTCCGTGATCATCACTACGTGTCTAGTCGCTGCAGTCCTCTTCCTATTTTTCACCGTCTGGTTGGCGCATATTATTTTGCCCTTGCGGGTTCACTGTCTGTTGATGAGCCCCTTTTTACGCCATTCTGTAGTCCGCTGCGCCAGCCACGCGAAATTGTGCATATCATGCATAAGTCGGCCTCTTCACATTTTTTCCTGGCCGCAATACGCCAAAATCATTTTACCCGCAACGCCAAACGGGAAGAGGAGGAGGAATATCATTTAAACCCAGGACGCATCAACGATGGTACAATAACGCCCTCTCCGAGCTCACTGTTTCTAGGCCCCTGCAAGAATGCATGTTCATCGCGGGAGGTGCCCCATTGGAAGGCAACCGCCTGAAAACCCCCAATCGTGCCAAAACATCGGCTTCGGGACTTCAGCGCCGCTGCGAATCAACGTAACGGTTGCACCCTGACAAACTCCTAAACCGTGCCAGAGCAATATTCCTAGGACCTCAACGCCGCGAATCAACACGATTGCTGCGCCCCGACTACCCCGAAACGCGCCAGAACACCATGTCTTGGACGTCCACAATACATGCGAACGTTTGAACTGTTGCTAACATGTAATGCGAGTGGGCGCGGCGCTAGGGCGAAAGCCACGTTGCGAGGATAAGCCGCTCTCCATCCTTGCAGCGGCTGCAAAGTGCAAAAACGAATGTGCGCCGCGCTGAGGCGACAGCCTCATTTTGAACGCCACCCACCCTCCATACATGAAGCTATTGCAAACGCTTGCAACATTGTGCGCCGCGCTGAGGCGAGAGCCACACGTTGAAAGTGTGCCGCCCTCAATCCTTGAAGCTGCTGCAAACTGCCACAGCTCGAAAACCACCCGCCATGCATCCTTGAAGCAGCAGCTTCAGGGTCATATGTTGGTGAAGGAGTCCACGGCGAAACGCCATGCCCGTCGTGCCGGCACGGCTAAGGGTGCGACTGAGGAGAGGTAGCCGAGATAGGTCTCCAGACCCCCAACCCGATAGTGAAAATGAATTAATCTTTCGACGCCACCATTGACGGACTCGGGCCCCGCCAATGATAGAGAAGAAGTGTTTCTCCGCGGCACCCGCCGCGCAACAGCGACGACGACGACAACGACTACTAGGAAGTGGAGGCGCGCGGACCTCAGCGCCACCTGGAACCGCCGAGGTGGGACCAGGTGGTCCAATTCGAGAAGCCTCGGACGACCGCGCCCCACGATGCGCGCCGAGGAGAGAAGGAGGCTCCCTGCCCTACCCGTCCGTCCAAGCCGTGGCCTAAAGGAATTACGCGGCGGGGGGGGACGGCGGGCGACGGACAACGGGGGGGGGGCCCAAACACTAAACGAGTTAGTCAGAACCCGAGCTCGCACCATCTGACTGGGCGGGCTCGGGACCGCGGGCTGCAGCAAGCAGCCTCAACGAGATGGAAACTCGTCGGAGCTCGGCACGGTCATCTTCGCACTCAACCGTACCCGAGCCCCGAGAAGCAGAAGCCGCGGGCAGGGGGCCTGAGGACGCAGCCCCAAAAGGAGCCGAGGGGACGTTACCTTCGCGCCCTCCGACGGAAATCTTAAGCCCCGCCTGGGGACACAGCCCGCGCTCGACTCGGCGCACAAACATGCGCTGATTAGCACGAGTACTGGCATTCTCAGCGGGGCCTTCGCACGCAGATAGCAAATTCCTCATACTGTCTAGCTCGCCGTGGGCTCCGCATCTCCTGCAACAGAACACACGGCCACACGAAATCACATCATGGTTCAAAACCCGAAAGGAATCTGCATCCGAACTGGGCTCTGGAAGCTGGGGGGTGGGCGGCCCACAGACCGCATCAGGGTCGAAACAGACGGTATCCGCAGCCTCCAGAGCCGCCGTCACCACCTCCGAGCGAACGAGCGAGCACGGCGAGCCGAACTCACCCAAAGAGCTGTACAGTCTGTCAAAAGCACAAGGCGAAGCGAACCCCGTCCTGGGGCAACGAATTACCCGCGCTCCTCACATGAATTTCCACGAGACAGCAGAGACATCACGGCGCGCCTGATCACGTGAAAGGAAGCAAGAGAGACAAAAGAGGCAGGCGGCGGCGGCAACACCAATCACACGAACGACGGCGGCAACACAAATCACAAGAAACACCGGCCTTCCGTTCATTGTCAAAAATGCGCACTACGAGCAGGATGTCAAAATAGTGCAACATGAGATACACATGAGAGAGCGTGAATCGTGTATGCGCCGACGCTGAACGACAGCCCAGCTCCCATACCTCTATCAACCAGACTTGGTCCAACCATATTTTTTCAGAACAGCATCCCAAGACATGTCCCGCCCACCACTACCAACAAATACCCTAAGCATTTCCCACCTGTAGTCACCTTCAGACGCCGAATGCTCATCTCATAATCCATGAAGATGGACAACGCGTTATGAGGAAGCAGTGGCCAGGGATGATAAGTACGCGCTTCTTTTGGTGAACAGGCCCGATGCCCCACCAGCCCGCACAAGGATATGAAGCAAACAGAAAGCGTAAAACAACAGGTCCTGGGCAGTCAGGCTCAAGCCGTCCGCAAACGCCGCGGAGACACAGGGGGTGAGAGCCTGGGCCTTAGCTACTTGCCTGAGGATGGGATCGAAACAGATGGCGAACAGAGCACTTGATAACGGGCATCCTTCTTTTAATCCCCCACAGGATGGGAATGCACAAGACAAGGATCCACCACCTCGCAAGGAGCCTCGAGAGCACGGAAAATCAGCCTAGGAAGGTTAAGCTTTTGGGGGAGGAGAAGGGGAAGGAGGAGGAGGAGGAGGAGGAGGAGGAGGAAGCGGAGGTGGAGGAAGCTGCGGAGGAGGAAGAGGATGAGGATGAGGATGAGAATAACGAGGAGGAGGGGAGGAGGAGCAGGAGGAGGAGGAGTCTCCACCGCCACCTCCTCCTCCTCCTCCTTCTCCTCCTCGTCCTCCGCCTCCGCCGCCGCCTCCGCATCCTCCTCTTCCTTCCTCCTTCGTAATTCCTCCTTCCTCCTTCCTCCTCCTCCTCCTCCTCGTCCTCCTTCCTCCTCCTCCTCCTCCCTTTCCTTTTCCTTCCTCCTTCCTCCTCCTCCTACTCCTCCTCCTCCTCCCTCCGCCTCCGCCTCCGCCTCTGCCTTCGCCTCCGCCTCCTTCCTCCTTCCTCCTTCATCCGTCCTCCTTTTTCCTTCCTCCCTCCTCCTTCCTCCTCCTCCTCCTCCTCCACCTTCCTCCTCCTCCTCCTCCTCTCCTCCTCCTCCCCTCCCTCCCTCCCTCCCTCCCCTCCCTCCTCCCCTCCCTCCCTCCCTCCTCCATTCTTTTTCCTTCTAATAACCTATCCTATTCGCACCCCGAGGCCAGTTTTTAGAGAGGGCCGGGCGTTTCGCCTAAAGCTTTCTCACCCTTTATGACGCAACAGCTTAAACGAATGGCAACAGCTTCACAGATGGTGGTGCGTGTCGTTTTCAAACTGTGGCTCTCGCCTTAGCGCCGCGCACATTCGTTTGAAACATTGCAAGAGCTTCACGGATTGAGGGCGGGTGGTTTTCAAAATGTGGCTCTCGCCTTAGCGCCGCGCACATTCGCTTCAAATATTTGCAAGAGCTTCACGGATTGAGGGCGGGTGGTTTTCAACATGTGCCCTCGCCTGAGCGCCGCGCGCATTTGTTTCAAACAATTGCAAGAGCTTCACGGATTGAGGGCGGGTCGTTTTCAACATGTGGCTCTCGCCTGAGCGCCGCGCGCATTTGTTTCAAACAATTGCAAGACCTTCACGGATTGAGGTCGGGCCGTTTTCAAATTGTGGCTCTCGCCTGAGTACCGCGCACATTCGCTTTA